AATAGCTAACTGATACAGTGGTGTTAAAATTGTGAGTTTTGATGTTATGTGAATTTTATCTCAAAAAATTTTAATTGCCATTGGAATTTAGATTTAGATTACATTCAATTAGCTTATTAATTTTGTGAGATTTGACTCTTTTTGTTTGATTTTGAGACAGGGTCTTGCTTTGTATTATAAACTGGCCTTGAACTCACTGTGTTGCCCAGACTGGCTTGGAACTTGAACTTGTGGCAGTCCTCCTGCCTTGGTCTTGAAAGTGCTAGGGCTACAGCCATACACAGCCATGGGGGCTGGGGATTTAGCTCAGCGGCAAAGCGCCTGCCTGGCAAGCGCAAGGTCGTGAGTTCGGTTCCCGGTACCAGAGAAAAACCAAAAAAAAAAAAAACCACAACAAAAAAAATCATACACAGCCATGTCCTGCTTGACTTCTTTTTGTGTGTGTGTCTTTTTGAGACAGGGTTTCACTATGCAGTTCAGGCTGGCCTTGAACTCACTTTGTAGCCCAGGCTGGCCTCAAACTCGCAACGATCCTCCTGCCTCAGCCACCTGAGTGCTGGGACTATAGGCATGCACCAACATGCCTGGCTCTATTTGACTTTTTAAGAATATTAAATTGGGCCACTCAATGCAATGGAATGAATTTATTGAGATTATCTTTTACATCTATCATTAGAATTCTAAAATTTCCTCCTTAGAGACCACAGAGAGTTCCTATATGTTTCTGACTGTGTTGTCACAGTCAGAAACATCATATGTAGCCACATATAGTTATCACCACATATGATGATAACTATATCATCAGCCACATCACATTATGTTCACATCATACATAGCCACATATAGTTATCAAAACTAACAAGTTAACACTGGCACAATACCACAAATGTAAATTTACCATTTTTTTCTAACATCACCTGCCACCCCAGGGATGTTATTACCACCCTAAATTGCATTTTGTCATCCCATTTCCTTTGTCTCCTACAGTCTGTGACAGTGTATCAGTCTTTCTTTTATGACATGCCAGTGTGAGGAGTACTGATCAGTTACTTGATACCATACTCAGCAGTTTGAAGCTGTCTGGTGTCTTCTCATAAGTAGACTGAGATTATGCATTTTGGGCAAAAAATATCACAAAAGTGATGGTGGACCATTCTCAAAATGTCATAGCCAGAAACACATGATCCAAAGCTGCCTAACTTTTCCTCTTGTAATTAATACACTGGGGGAAGATACTTTAAAACCATGCAAATAGCTTGTTTCTCCTCAAACTTTCACCCACTGTTTTTAGATCCACCAGTGGATCTTGCCCACAAACATTACTTTTGTGGCATTCTAATTTTCTTATTTCTTTCAATTTTAGCATATGTGCTGCTGAAGTGAGCACTGTACTTATTTCAGTGCCGGGATCAAACCCAGGGACTTGCACATGCTAGGCAGGTGCTCCAACATTGAGCTACCTCTCCAGCTAATGGTGATTTCTATTTCTCTTCATTCTTCTACAGTGCTTAGTTAGAATTATTCACTAAGGAAAAGATCTCCTTCTCCCTCATTTATTTATTATCAGTACAGACTTGTAGACATTTCTTTTATTCTATAGGGCATAGTCTAACTCTATTATTATTTACTTTGTTGTACTATGCCATCTTGGACCATTGGGGGCTTCTCTCAGATAGGTTTCTCTGCCCTTTACAATGACCTACTCTTTTTTTGAGCACTTCCTTATTTTCTTTTACCATTAGATGTTCCATATTCACCTTGCCTTTTTTGTGCCCAAACTCTATAATCAACCATGTTTCCAAGGAGCCCTGCTAACATGGTGTCCCACATGGAATACTGAAACACAGAAAGGATATAAAAGATATTGGTTAAAAACTAGGAAGTCTGACAAACTATGGATTTTGGTTAATAATAGTTTCATTAATTATAATATACATACCATAACATTTAATGTAAGATGTTGGTTGGCAGAAGTGTATAAATTGAAAATATATTATGTAACTTTTCGTAAATGTAGAACTTTTCTTTAAAAATTAACTTTATTACTAGATCTGCAGGCACCCTGATCTCTGACTTCCCAGCTGTTTCTTAAGCCAAAAAATTTTAACGTTAATTAAAAAAAACCAGGAAGCCAGTCATGATGGAACACACCAATAATCCTAACACTGTGTGAGACTAAGATAAGAGGATCACACATTCAAGGCTGGCCTGAGCAACTCTAATTTAGTAACTTAATGAGACCTTGTCTTACAAAATAAGAAGTAAAAGGGACTGCTGATGTAGCTCAATGCAAAGGCCCTGGGTTCAATCCCTACTACTGAAAATATAAATTATTTTGTTCCTCTATTTATTAAAGCATACAATGCAGCAGATTTTAGTATAGTCACAATGTGGCACTACTATCACCCCTATGAAATCCAGAATATTTCCATCTCCCCAAAAGAAATTCTTTACCTCCTAAATCTTCTCCTCTCATCCAGTTGGGATTTTTTTTTTTTCTTCTTTTTTTGAGACAAGGTCTCACTATGCAGTTCAGGTTGGCCTTGAGCTCATTATGTAATCCACGCTGGCCTTGAACTTGCAGCAATCCTCCTGCCTCAGCTTCCTGAATGCTGGGGTTACAGATGTGCGTCATTGTGTTTAGCCAGTTGAAATTTTTAAGACTTTATTTTTTTAATCATGGTATTTTATTTTATTATTATTTTTATTATTATTTATTACTGGGGATTGAACCTAGGATCTTCCCACTGAGCTACAGGGTTTCTATAAGTTACTAAATTGCCCAGGCTGCGCTCAAATTTTTGATCCTAGGACTACAGGTATGTGCCACCACACCTGGTTAAGCCTTTAAATTTCTGCCAAAATGTACCATCCATGAAGTTGTCTTGCTGGAGAAAATGTAATCTGTATCTAATTAAGCCTCTACATTTGTACTATACAGCACAATAACACTCCAAAATTAAAATTAAATGAAATCAAATATTCAGTTACACTTTTGAAGTACTCAGCAGCTATATGTGGCTGGTGGCCACCAAGAAGGAAGCAGATACCAAACATTTCCCTGAGAAAACGACAACCCAGCTAATTCTTAATGCTTCAAGAAATAGAAAGATTAGATAAATATATTAAATAATACCATTAGGATACAGTCATTTGAAAACAGAATGTGGACACCGCTACAGAACAGATGAACCAGTTTCTTTAATAAATCATTGGCATGGGGAGAAATTGTAGATTTTAAAAGACCAGAGACAAATAGGGATGGGCTGGAAGTGTAGTTGCTTGCTTAACATGTGGGAAGATCTGGGTTCCACCCCAGCATGGAAAAGACAGAAAGCAAGCAAGCAAGGAAGGGAGACATGTGAATCAAATGCATTAAGGACTTTTAATGGGTATTGATCTTGTACTAAGTGCAAAAGAGACCTTTTTTCCTTCTCTTTCTTTCTTTCTTTTTTTTTTTAATTTGGTACTGGGAATTGAACTGAGGACCTTGTGCTTGCCAGGCAGTCACTGTGTCACTGAGCTGTATCGCCAGCTCTCTTTCTTTTTTAGACAAGCCAGCTGGTGGCACACTGAGGGTATAAGTATGAATTTAAACAAAATCTTTGGGATGCTACAGTTGTGGACTGAGCACTTGAACTACACCCTAACAAACTCAACCAAACCAAAATGGAGTCACTCATGCTAAATACCACACAATCAAATTGAAACCTCAAGGAGGCAGAGAGATTCCCAAACACTCCAGTTTTCCCTGAAAATAGACTTTTAATCTACCTGAGTCGGCCTAAGAAGTCTGCCTTAGTTCTTACCAAAAAAGAAAAGTAAACTGAGTTAACCAATCAGGTTTATTTCTATTGTTCTACCATTCTTCCCACCATGCAAGACCTACTGTTCTGTTGCTGTCCAGTTTTTAGAATTAGAGGCAGCTCTAAGTTATGAACTGTGAATAAAAGCCAATTAGATATAAATAAACTTGTAGTTACCCCCTACATACACACATGGAACTCAGGGCCTTCACCTTGAGCTATGTTCCCCAAACATAGCTACATTCTCAAAATTTAAAATTTTGAGACAAGGTCTTGCTAAATTGCCCAGGTGGGACTGGAATTTGTAATCCTCTTGCCTCAGTCTCCCAGGGTGCTATAATGACAGAAGGATGACACCACGCCCAGCTTGGAACTTTGGCTTTTGGCAAACTTATCCAAGCGCGGTTGTGGGGAAGAACTCGGTGAGGATGAGGATGAAGTTTGTGTTCATGACTCAAAGGAAGAAAACCAAAGCTGCACGTAGTTTTATCTCAGCGATGCCTGCCAGGGGCCTCTTACAGCTCACCTAGGAATAGCTTCAAGCCTGACACCTACCCGATTCCTGGCTGCGCCCCAGAGGAGGTGGAGACGAAAGACATATGAGTCTTCACCTATCCGGTGGAGTGGTGCAAGTTCTCAGCTCCCCTCTTCCAGGAAGTCTTCCTGGCATGCCCCACTGCCCACCCCCACTCCATCCTGGGAGGGCCTTTGCGTGCTCCCTTCCTCCTGGCCCGGATAGCAGCCCTGTGACACTAGCCTGAGACTTGCAAGGGGAGAAAAACTCTGCCAGCCAAGAGGATAGTCAGGAGCTGGTGCCAACGGAGAGCAGGGGCTATGCCAAGCCCTGAGCCTGGCTGGAGCTGGGTGGAGTGGAACCAAAAGGGAAGCCTCGCCCGGAGGTTAAAGGTTAGAAGCAAGTGGGGCAGGTGGAGCGGTCTACAGCAGCCAGCAGAGCTTTTAAGTCCTCCACGAGGCTTTTGAAGGGCCGCTGGAAGCCATCGCAGACTGTCAAGGCAGGGAATGGCTACCTTCACAGTTTCCTAGTGTGTCTGGCAAGCCTCCCCTCTCTTTTAAAATGTTGATCCTGGCATCCACGGACTCTTCTGATTTGGCCATGTCTTAGGGCCACCTTAAATCCCCTCCACCTTAAGCAGACTCCACCCCTGAGTGCAGCCAATGAGCAGATAGATAAGCAGCCAGGTGTCCCCGCCCCCCAGCCGTCTAAACCAGCTGCCCGGTCGCAGTCCGGCGATGGCCCTGCTACTCCGGGCTGTAACTTGGGGGCTGTTGCCCTGGAGGAGCCACTGCTCCAGTGCACCCCAGGTCAGGGGGGCTGGGAGGGAGGGGAGGCTGGTTCCCACTTCCCAGGCCCTGCCTTAGCGAGGTGCAACCTGTTAAGGCTGCACCGTCTCTCCTGCCACAGGGGCAGGCTGTGACCCGGCTCTCTTTGGGGTGACTCTGGCAACGTTTCTCCCCTGTAGCGTGGACTCAGCAAGGGCTTTGTGGAGGCTCTGGAGGCAGTTGTGGGGAGCCCCCATGTGTCCACTGCTGCTGCAGTGCGAGAGCACCACGGGCGCGATGAGTCGATGTACAGGTATCAGAACCGCCTCCCCCCCCCCCGCACACCCCCTGGGGCTGGGACGCAAAGTCTGAGTTGTCCTCGTGCCCACCCACCTGTTTGAGGGTGCTCTGGCATTCTGCAAACAAGGCCATGTGCTCTGTCCCTCACCTAGTTGTGGCTTCAGGCCCTGCAACACCTCCTGGCTCCTTGAAATGGGCAGGACCAATTACCACATCCTTCTAAAGCTCCGAGGTCTGCTTCCAGGTGCCATCCTCCTGATGCCGTGGTGTGGCCCCAGAATGTGGACCAGGTCAGCCGCCTGGCAGCCCTGTGCTACAGCCAGGGTGTGGCTATCATCCCATTTGGCACCGGCACCGGCCTGGAGGGGGGAGTCTGCGCCCTGCAGGTAGAGTGGGTGCCCCAGGTTGGGTCTTAGGCACGTCATGTCCGCGGCCATCCCCACCAGCCGTGCTGGGGCTCTGCTCTGGCTGCTGGGGGGCTCTGCAAAGGGCTAGGGTCTTTCGGGCTGTGCCTGGCCCTGAGGCTAGGTCAGCCAGCCTTCTCAGGATCCCTCCTCCAGGGCGGTGTATGTGTTAACCTGACCCACATGGACCGGATCAGGGAGCTGAATCCAGAAGACTTCTCTGTGGTGGTGGAACCCGGTGTCACCCGTAAAGCTCTCAACACCCACCTGCGTGACTGTGGCCTCTGGTTTCCCGTGGGTAGGCCTGGGGCTTGGGCACCTTCCCTCGGAGGCCTGAGGGCTAGCTGGGGCTGGGCTATTTCTGGGGCTTCGCAGGACCCTGATTTTCCCTGCCTGGGTGGCCCTGTCCTGCTCTCTGCCCTCCAGACCCGGGTGCAGATGCTTCTCTCTGTGGCATGGCGGCCACTGGAGCCTCAGGCACCAACGCGGTGCGCTACGGCACCATGCGTGACAACGTGATCAACCTGGAGGTGGTGCTGCCTGATGGGCGGCTGCTTCACACTGCGGGCCAGGGTCGTCATTTCAAGTGAGCTCCCTTGCCCCTAGCCTGGGGTCCCAGCCTGCACTGAGGCTGACCGGCTTCCCTCCTCCAGCCACCCTCCTGAATGGGTGGGTGAGGCCTGGAGCCCCGCAAATGGGCCAGTGGATAGTGATGGGGTTCACTGTCCCTGCAAAAGGCAGACCTGGTTGCAGAGTAACAGTCAGAGAAGCAGGAGGCCAGCTGAGACCTGGCCATGTAGGGGATGGTGCACTGGGTTCCGGCTCCTGACTTCTGGGCAGAAATTTCTCAGCGCACAGCCTGGGCAATCACCTGCCTTACGTCTCTGGGATCCAGGAAGACTGCAGCTGGCTACAACCTCACAGGGCTGTTTGTGGGCTCCGAGGGGACACTGGGTCTCATCACGTCCGCCACTCTGCGCCTGCACCCAACTCCTGAAGCCACCGTGGCTGCCACCTGTGCATTCCCCAGTGTCCAGGCTGCGGTGGACAGCACTGTACAGATGCTCCAGGCTGCGGTGCCTGTGGCCCGCATTGGTGAGCCGGGGACTGGGTTACCCGCGCAGGGTCCTCAGAAGGGCGGGCCTCACCTGGCCATCCGTCTCCTTCGTCCCAGAGTTCCTGGATGAGGTCATGATGGACGCCTGCAACAGGTACAGCAAGCTGAACTGTTCTGTGGCACCCACCCTCTTCCTCGAGTTCCATGGCTCCGAGCAGGCCCTGGCAGAGCAGCTGCAGCGGGCAGGTGTGCTGTGGGTTGGACTGTGGGAGCATGCGGCCAGGGCTCCCCCAGTGTGGAGCCCAGGGTCAGTCTTCCTCCCTGACTGCAGAGGTGATCACCCAGCACAACAGAGCCTCCCACTTCTCCTGGGCTAAGGAAGCAGAGGAGCGCAGCCGGCTTTGGACCGCACGGCACAACGCTTGGTACGCGTTCCTGGCCCTGGCTCCAGGGTTCAAGGTGAGCTGGGACTGGGGTGGAAGTGGCTTCCACAGCTTGGCCCATGATCCTTTAGCTCAGCCCCCTACCCTGCTGTATACAGCAGCAGGCTGAGGCCTATAGGGGTTGAAAGTGAGGGGTGGGGTGCAAGTCTCGCTGAGTAGCACTGCAACCTGTGACTACAGACTGCACCGCCCAGCCATTTCTCAGATGCTGCCTAGAGGAAAAGGACCATTGTCTGCCCATCCCTGGAGTCCTTCCAGTCAACCAGCCACTGCAGCAGTGCTGGGCTGTTAGGGTTGTAAACACAACAGGGAGGGCCTCCTGGAGGAAGAGACATGGAGAAGAAGGGGTCAGTCCAAACCAGAAGGGAGGCTGGGTCCCAGGCAGCTTCTGCAGAGGCTTATGTGGGTGTGGTGGCCCTGCACATAGCCGAGGAGTGGTGAGGGCCCTGGGCTGGCAAGGCCTGGCACACACACCCAGGCCAGCCATCTAGATAAAAGCAAGCCCTCTCCTTCCGTGAGGCCAAGAGCTGACTCCAGATCCCCCCAGACCCTTCCTTCGCCTTGACCACAGTGACCCCTGAACCTCCAGCAGGCAGGGGTAAGGGGAGAGCCTCACAGGCTTGCCTCTGACCCAGGGCTATTCCACCGACGTGTGTGTGCCCATCTCGAAGCTGCCGGAGATCCTGGTGCACACCAAAGAGAAGCTGAAGGCCTCGGGACTCACAGGTCCGATGGAGTGAGGTGGGGAGGTGCTGGGGCTGACTAGTGCCTGGGCCAAGGGAAGGTGAGGCCGGAAGTGACTGCTGTGTCCTCTGGGCCCCCAGGAGCCATTGTTGGACATGTAGGTGATGGCAACTTCCACTGCCTCCTGCTGGTGAACCCAGATGATGCTGAGGAGCTCCAGAGAGTCAAGACCTTTGCAGAAGAGCTGGGCAGGTGGGAGCCCAGTGGGGTAGGGGAGGGCAGAAGGGATGGGAGAAGAACCTGCTAAGGGTCCCTCTCATGGCATCTCAGGAGGGCACTTGCACTCCGTGGGACGTGCACCGGGGAACATGGCATTGGAATGGGCAAGCGGCAGCTGCTACAGGAGGAGGTAGGCCCCGTGGGCTTGGAGACCATGCAGCAGCTTAAGGTCATGCTGGACCCCCGAGGCCTCATGAACCCAGGCAAGGTGCTGTGAGGAACTCCAAGTATTTGACCTGCAAGCGCCCAGAAGACACAGACTCTTCTGGAAACACTGGCCCTACAAGGATGGACAGTGGCTGATGCTGTCTCTGCCAGCCCTCTGTCGCTGGGACTTGAGCCAGAAGACAGAGAGAGAAGCTGGGCTCCTTGCTGCCCCTTTTGCTGCCCTCAGGAACCTTTGGTCCAGTAAAGGAAGCTGCTTTCTCTGGCTCTACACATCTGTCCGGGCTGCGAGAGCTGGTGTGGGTCACCGCATGGCTGAGAGCTCATGCCTTCCTCAGGCCTCCCCACTGCAGGGGCCCAGGACCCTTTGCCCACATCTGGTGACAGGAACACTCCTTTCCTAGGACAGGAAGGGCCCTCTCACTCCAGGGCGCTAGGTCTTTTCTTTAGGGTGGCCCAAGTGAATCTGAAATCCATTTCAGCTGTCTGGAGATCGGCAGGCATCTCCTCCCCGAGTGCCAACTTCTCTCCTTCAGATTCCCTGTCTTGGGGCCAGTGACCCATTTGTTTTGGGTGTGTCCTGACTTAGAGTGGCCTGGGGAGGGGATGGTGCCCAGGGTTTGGAAGGAAGCTAGGTCCCTGTCCCAATTACTGTGCTTTTAACAACCTTAGGCAGAGGTCCCGCCCATGGTGGTGGTCACTTATGATAGCCTCACCAGGCCTGAATTGGGTTTTAGAGCATCCTAAACACATTCTTCAAGCAGTGCTACCAACTATGAGAAATGGAAGATTATCCTCCTTGTCCCACATCTTTCTGTGGCTCAAGATATTGTCCTAGCAGCTTTTGGTCTCAAAGGCTGGGTCAGCCCAGCATACAGCCTGACATGTTGTGGGATCCCTGGCCAGAGCCATAATCTGGGGTACTTGGTAGTTAAACCCCTAGGCCCACAAGAGGGCGCCTGACACCAGAAAGCTCAGACACTACTGCGTCTACTAGGGGCAGCTGTGGCCCAGCACTCCTCTCTCCAAGGCCTGTAGTTCTCAGCTCTGAGCCACCCACCTCCCGGGCTTAGAGAGAGGCTTGGTGGCCAGTCCAGCCCCTACCCACTGCAGATCCCAGGAGCCTGCAGTCCTGTCCATGTCCCCCATCCCGAGGGCCTTTGATCCTGTTAGTGAAGGAGACGGGGTGAAGGATGCAGAGGAGCTCGCGCAGAGGTGAACAGCACCCTCCAGCTCACCTCATGCCCTCCCCAAAGCCCTGTTGGGCCCTTAACACCCCTTGCATAAAGCCCTGGGCACAGGCTGCCACCCTGGGACTTCATCAGTCCAATCTTGGTTCTTGGAATTCCTCTGTGCTCACACTGGGCTCTAGCAGACAGAGATGGATGTGGGCTTGAGGACAGTCTTCTGTGACATTCCTGTGTGCCAAGGATGGTTTGGTGGCGAGTTGCATCAGCCCCTCTCCCCACAGCACCCCCAGCATGCTTACCAGGAAACAGCTCTCCAGCCCCGCCCCTTTAGACCCCTGCCCTGGGGTGGACTCTGCAGTGGCCACCTCTACCTTGGCAGGGCTTTTCTCTGATGTGAACTCCAGGGCTTAGCAGCTAGTGGGCACTTGCAAATGGCCATGTACCCAGGTTCTTTTATTAAGAAAAATTCCAAACATACAGAAAAGTTGGAACGAAGTATACCACCATTCACGGAAACACCAGCCATAAAGATTTGACGATAGACACTTATATTATTTGCTTTGTGTATCTCGGAGGAGTCATTTAGAATTAGACTGCACATTTCTTGAAAGCACTCGCCCGTAGATCACAGCATCTATCTCTTAAGATTAAGGACATTCCCCTATAAACGTCAACAGTATTATATGGCTATTGAATGAGCAGTCTCCTCCGTGCTTTCTTCCCTCCCACAAAGGCAGAGCAAGGGCCTTTCCAGAATCCTTCAGAATGTGGGATTCTGGAGAGCTGTCTGGGTGGAGATCACAAACATCGCTCCCACCCACATGCCAGGTGCCGACGATCGGGACAGAACGCAGAGGACGTGGCAGCCAGCAGAGGGCTGCAGTGTGCCAGGTGGGAGGAAAGTCACCCAGGATAGATGAGCACGAGCCGGGAATAGCACCCACCTTGGGCCCCAGACCTGCTTCACCCACTGCACACCAGTTGGCTGACTGTGGTACCACTAAGGCAGCTGGGCTCAGGCTGCCAAGGTGGGCACACAAGGCAACCATCTCCACATCCAGGGGTCAGACAAGGAAATCTCCCGAGCTGGGCCCTGCCCCACCAGTTTTGCTGGTGGAATTAAATATAGAACAGGGAGACACAGTTGCCAGGCAGAAGCAGAAGGTGCTGTGAATAGAACTGCGCCCTTTGCGGTGACAAAGCTACAGGGAAGCCTGCTGCGCATGTTCCAGGCCTGCAGGGCAGATCCCGACCCTTGCAGTGACCTCTGAGCTGCGTGATTTTGTCCTCACTTCACATGCGAACAATCAAATTCAGATGAATGAAGTCATTTCCTCATTCTGCCAAGGAGTACAGCTCAAACGCAGGCAGCACCCCTGTTCTGGCCGCTACTCCTGCAGCAGCATTCCTAGGTCCCAGGGTCCCCCAGGGCAGGGAGCCAGGCAAGCCCAGACTCTGAACCACAACTCTTCAGTTTGAGCTCAACGAGCGTGGCTGCTGGCCTGCATGGAATGCCCTTGCGCTAAGTAGGCACCACCAAGTAGGAAGCATCTGAAGGAGGTGAATGCGAAGCCAGAGGCCCTGGTGGGATTGGGCCCTGAGGCAACAGCACAAAGAGCAGGCCCGGGAGCGCTCAGGGCGGAGGTGTGGGGCCTTTGTCCCCCTCTCACGCTCTCCTTGGCTGGCTCAGCAGGAGGCCCTACAGCGCAGCTGCCTGGCTTGGAGACAAGCCGGGCAAGCACTGCTGCCCCTTGCCCTGTGCTTCCTGCAGTTTGCCAACTTTTGCGAACCAGAGTGGGTGGTTAAGGGTTCTGAGCTGGCTCAGCCTCAAACCAGGCCTTCTGGGGCCTCGGTGAAGTATGCCCTTGAGTCAGCACTGAGACACGGATGGAGGAACAGGAGCAGGATGTGGGATGGGGAGCAGAGGCTGAGGCGGGCAGGAGTACCGGGCTGGTACCTGGAGGAACCACGTCCTCGTGGCCTCCGGTAGCTGCAAGAGCTCTGTCCCGGAGGACCCTTCCAGAAAAGCTCCATCCCGGCACTCCACAGGTGAAGGCGGTCGGTTCCAGCACACTTAAGAGGGTTAGTGACATGGGAACCACCCCTTCCCTGCCGGTGAGAGCCTGCAGGAATGCTGGGGTGAGGGGCGGAAGGTGGGTCTTTGTCCCCAGTTCTTCATTTCCCACCCCCAGTTCTTCATCCTCTAACAAGATTTCATCAAAATAAAACCACACAGTGTATCTTTTATTAGACATTATTTTAATACCATATCAAAACACCTTGACTGATGAAGAAAGCTTTTCTCCCAAGCTTTGAACATTTTTTAAACATTTTATGAGGTTTTTTTTTGTATTTTAATATATAAATACAGAAACCTATCTTGCATGGGCCAATGCCGCATGTGAACATCAATGGCTAAAATGTTCTCAAACAGAGTGCCTGAAAACGGGGGAGCAGTCCATGGTTCTCCAGGAAGTCTTTTATTTAAGTTTTCTGGGAAAAAAAAAATCCACAAGGGCCTAAGAAAAATGTTCAGGCATTTTTGCAGGACACTTGTGGTTGTTAAACCCTCTGAACTGACCAGAACCAGAAAGAAAGAAAGGGGAAGACATGGGACCGGAAGTGGGAGCAAGTCCTTGGTGGGCATCGGTTTGTTTTGGCAATGAAATCAAGTTATCAATCAGGGTCTCAAAGGGAAGAAAAGTGCAAAACCAAGCCAGAAAAATGGGCAAAAAAAATGGAAAACAAAACAATAACAACAACAAAAACAAAAACCCAAAAGGGAGGTTGGTGATGCAGAGAGCTGACCGGGGCGCTGGGCAAAGGATGAGACTGTGTGTGCCCACCCGCCGTCAGAGCGCTGGCGGCGAGGCTGTGGCTATGTCCGGTTGTCACTGAGTGGGTTACAGCTGGGCAGCAAACAGCAATCTGTAAACATCACGAGGGAAAACACCAGTCGACACTAGACTTTTTTTTTATATAATTTTTTTTTTTTGTAAACACTTTAAAGACAGACCCACAATGCCTTTCAAAGGTGAAAAAGAAAATGCCCTTTCCCTCCTGGGCTGAGGGGGAGGGGAAGGAAAGCAGTCGATTCACTCTTCTCTTGCGATTTGGTGTCCTCAGGGAGGAGGGAGAACCGCTGTCCAAGTCAGTGCAGGAGGAGTGGCCCGTTCCCACTGGTGTCCCACGCTCAGCTCTGCCCCAGTGTCCCATGAGCCTCTCTCAGAGCAGGGGCTGTGTGTCCCTGTGTGGGTCAGAACAAGTCAGTCACGCTCTGTGCGGCCAAGGGCCGGCCGCTGCATCCCGTGGTGGCAGCACGTGTCCCGCCAAGGGCGGGCGGGCCGCCGGGCGCCTGCTGCTCGGTTCCCCCAGAGCCAAACATCCTGCCAGGCCCCACGACCCCACGTCAGGCCAGGTGGCCCTCCCTCCGCCTCACTCTCGCCCTGCTGTTTCTTCTCCCCTTGTCAGCACTTTTTGAGGTGAAGGTAAAAAGTGCAAATGTCCCTGATTTGTCTGACATCATTAGCTGTCAGGGCACTTACTTGGAATAAATAAAATAACCTAACAAGGGAAAATAAAACAGGACAGAGAGAGAGCAGAAAGAGACCCCAAAACCTTTGGATGAGCGAGACAAAGTGGAGTTGGGCTCTTTGCTTTTACTGGGGCTTTGGTTTATCTGTTTGCCAGGAGGAAGAAAATGCCAGCCCAGAACTCAGCAGGGCCTGGCGGGGCAGGGGACAGGAGAGGGTGGTCAGCAGTGAAGCAAGGAGCCCGTGGGCAGAATGGAGAGTCAGACCCAAGCGTGACCCTGGGGACCATGTGCACACATGCAGGAGGAGCTGAGGGGCTGAGGCTGGCCCGGGGACTTAGGATTCCTTTGGAAGAGTGGGTGGGAGGTGGCAGCAGGAGGACCAGCAGGAAAATGACCACTGATGAGCACGGTGCAGTGGACCATCCATGGTGCCATGGACTGTCTACTGAGAACCCGTCCACAGGGCAAAGGGGTCACCCTTTGGGTCACCAGAGAAGACCCTGAGAGCTGAGCAAGGCTGGGGCAGAGCTGCAAACCCATAGCCCCATGCTCCTCCTACTGGGGTCCATTCCCAGAATCTTTCTGAACTTTCCTCAGAAGCTTCACCCCGGACATCTGAAATACACTGGGGTTTCCCCAACTAATTCCACCTCTTCCCATTGCGCTTTTCATGGTCCTGCGCTTGTCTGCGTGTGCCTTGCATACTTCCACAGGAAGCCTCTGCACCCCAGGAGCCTACCCACTGATGAGCTGCTGCCTTTCCCTTCTCCCCTGCTTTCTCCCGGAAGGCTGTGTCAGGGAAGCCCAGCTCCTCGCCACCAGGCCCACAGAGACCATGCCTTGAGCCTGAGCCCAGCGCGCCCCCAAGCACAGGCTCACCTTTGAGAGGGTTCAGCAAGCAAGCCCGGCTGGGTCAGTCTGCAGGGTGTTCTGGACAAGATCTGTTCACTTCAAACCACGAGTCTATGCAGCTGGGGTGGGGAGCGGCAAGGGGAACACCTGTTAGCTCAGACACTTCTGGAGTCTTTCCTGAAAGGTCCCCACGGAAAAATGATCCTGTCCCCCTTTTTGAAGCAGGGAGCAGGGAGAGCACAAAGACGATTCTGCCTCAGCAGGTGTCAGCAGGGGCAGGCACAGGCTCAGGGAGACCTGGGCTGCAGGAAGGGCATCAGTGGTCCTGAGGAAGACCCAGGCCTACTGCACGGAGCCCAGGAGGGGAGCAACAACTACTGGGGTGAAGGTGCGGGTAAGAGGAGTATATACTGTGGTCAACTAGCCGGTCAATTATCTCCAAGGCCTGAGGAATACGGAGTGGGGAGAAAGACAGGGCAAGCTGGCCGGGGTCCCAGCTTCAGGATCCTGAGAGCAGCCCCTCCTAGGTCAAGAGAGCAGCCGGGATACACCTTCCCAGTGAGTCTGCCTGTGAGGGTAAGAAGGGCTGGGGGGCCATGGGCTGTGTGACGCTGCTAAGAAAGCGAGCCAGGGAGGGGCTTTCAGTGAATCCGTCGTCTCCAGTCTTCACACAGCACTGTCTGCCTCAAAGAGGAACAAAAGAGGAACCGCAATGGCCCCAGGACAGCTTTCTGATACATAAACCAACATCTGGGTGCTTTTAAAGACAGAAACCAGACAGGTAATTTGCATAAGCTTGCCCCAGGAAGGGTTTTGCTTTCTGGTTCCAGTTAGTGCTGCCCTGGGACACAGCAGGGCTGTGTGCTGGGACCCAGACCAAGAAGCACAGCTCTCCCGAAGGCCAGCCATGGGACTCTGCATCAACCACATTCCTAGACCACGCAAGGCTGTCATTCTGTAGACCAGTGGCCTCACGTCAGGCTCGCTTCGTGCCTCACGTCAAGCAGCTCTGGGCTGGAAAAGCGGACAGCAGGTAGCAGTCGCAGGAGCACAGGGTGTCCTCCCATCTTGGGCAAAGAAAGTCTTTCCAGTTGGAAACAAGCATATGGCTCCCATTGGAGCTGACGATGATCTTCAGCCCACTCATTATAGCCACTCTCAG